AGTAGTGTAACGAATCAGCTCTTTGGAACATTAATAATCAATGATAACGTGTTATTATTAATTATGAATATTTGAGTCAGTTAATTGGATTAACTTGTGACTGAATTGATATTACAATCAATTAATAAGTTTGTCCAACAAACTCTTTCGTTATTCATTTATTCTAAGAAAAAGGTACCTTCCATGGCCACAGAAGAATAATTATTTTTTAACTTGTACAGCGCTTTGAGCATGTAGCCAAATCAAAATCGTAAAGGGACTCCGTATTGCAAACAAAACAGAACCAAATACATATTATGTACAAGTTTTATTAACTAAATATAAATATTTATATAAATATAAATAAACTAAACAACATACACACATGAATACATAAATGGGTGAGTGATAGGACGAAACCGGAAATGGAACTATTGAGAAGAAACATCAGCATTTAATTTTCAAACCATCAAAACAAAAGTATAATTGCATGCCTGGGTAGTGTACATTATTATCAAAGTTGTTGAAAATTGAAGTTGTTGATGATTCTGCAAGTGTCAAATGTTGAAGTCTCAATCATTTCCTTCTTCGTTGGATGAAGAAGATATGATGAACTTGGTTGGTTTGACTCTGTGGCCTGCCAGCCCTGGTCCGGGAGGACATGCAGAGAAAAGGGTGTGAGTTGCGACGGACTTCTTCTGCCTTAGGAGAAGTCACTGTACTCCTGAGGTTGTCCTTTTCAGTTGGTAAGGTTGCAGTTTCTGGATTTTGGGACCATGAAAGCATGGCCAATGTTTGAATTAGTTCTCGGGCAGGGAAGCCCTCACTATAATCCTCCGGTCACCCTGGCTATATGCAGAAGTAGCCCTTTTCTGGAGCTCCAGAAAAATAATTAGATCGGGGCATAGGCGAGGGGACTCCGTCGTTTGAGGCACTTGAGTCCCGACCGCGCATCTATAGTGCTGAACGTCGAAAGAGTGCTGGTTACAAACAGAGGTGATAGAGGTAGAAGAAAGGTTGCTGAAATGGAAATCATCTCCATCTAAAGTCATCGTTGTGTACCCCATATCAATGTTTACACGATTTGGACAATCAATCAGCTCAGACAAAGTGAGAGTAGTCAATCTTTTGTTACCTGTGAACTTCCTACCGATTGATGGACCTCAGGAACTGGATCAAAAGGACGATAACTTGATTGATGAAAATGATGTTCAAGGAAACAAAGTTGACCATAAGGATGAAACTGTTCAAGGAGATGAAGTTGACCATGATGACAGAACAGCAGATTGGATATTAAGTAATCCTGCTGGTTTTGTTGAGGAAGATGGTCATACAAACCGTACAGACTTACCTGTGTCAGATTGTGTCAGGGAGGCTGGACTCTGTGAGTGTTGACGCTGGGAACCTGAATGTAAGAAATTATGACAAAGTGCAAAGTGATGTCGAAAGAAGTAATGAAAATGTAACAAGTGATGTCAAATTACCTGAAGTGGAATGAAGACTCTGATTCGACTCAAGGAGGACAGTACATGCATGAGGCCACAAATGAACCTGGGGTGTGCACACAGCCAAGATATGTTGAGGCTGCAGTAACTCGAACTAGACTTGGCAATGATTCAAAATAGAGTAATTAAGCCTCCTAAAAGACTAATTTGTGAAATGAACAAACAAAACATAGACAGTTCAGGCTCTACAGTGATTTCTTCTATTTTTTTTTTTTTTGCCAGTTAAAGGGGTGGTAATGCCCCTTTTTACAATATGTAAAATAAATCTCTGTTGTCCCCAGAGTGTTTATTTGAAGTTTTAGCTCAAAATACCCAACAGATCATTTTTACAGCATGTTAGCATCCCTTTTTAAAATTGGTGGAGCATTGCAGCACAGTTTTATGTTTTCAAAAAAAACAAACAACAACAAAAAAAACAATCATACTTATAGTACATTTGAACATTTTAATTTCTCTGCTTGTTCAAAACTCTTCTTAGGAAATTTTATTCACCGGTACATTTATGTTTATTGGAGTTATCTTTGGCAACAGGACCTGCTGCAAATGATAACAAATAACTATGGTCCATGATGACTGTACAAAACGGTGCTGTGGTAGACACTACAACTACTACTTCTGCATGAATTCCATGTTGGTCCAGGTTGGTTTACTGTATGTTGGTTAGAGCTGGTATAGAGCTTGTCAAGCTGGTGGACTAGCATACAGTAGTAATGCCTTTCTCGTGCAAAACTGAGCTGGTTTACTGGTCCACCAGCTCTACCGCTTCCCATGCTGGTCCCAGCATGCAAAACATATCTTATGCTGGAGACCAGGAATGCTGCATTCTAGAGGGTCACTCTGCCATTTTTTATGGCAGTTAAAGCAGAAACTAGGATAATGTGGACATAATGCCATTGACAAGTGATGAAATGGGATATTACACTGGTTAAAATTGTGAATTTCTCTGGATTCAAACATTGTTGGAAACATTTGGGATAATGCAAGTACACACGTGAACAAAATATATACACAGTGCAATTTTAATGCAAAAATCATACATATGTCTTTAAATCAATCAATATTTAATAAATAAATAAAACTCTTTTCTTTGTAGGTAAGTATTAAACACTTGATGGATTTAGAACAAAGAATGCTGCTGCTTCTGATATGTTCTATACTCTTAGTGTGTCAAAAAATGTCATAGTCCTGGGTGGGCAGGAACACACAATGATGAAATTGCTTGAGGGCTGGGGGGTTAGTGGGTTGCAAGGACCTTTCTGCAAACATTAAACATTAGGCTGTGACTGTTCTTTTTGGGATGCTATTGTTTCTTTGCTCTAGATTCCTTTTTCTGGTGCACCACCTCCCACTGAGTCCCCTTCCCTGAACACAGCAAGGGCTAAATCTCCCTTTGTGGAAAAGAGGAAGAGCGTGCTACACCAACAGCAATCCCAGAAGATTCCTGTTGAGGGCCTGGCAACAGAATTAAGGACCCCACTGACTGTCTCCATGTACCCCGAAAAACTAAAAAACAAAAAAAACATCCACTACGCTCAACCCCTGCTCCCATAATCATTGTTTCTGGCATGCGAGGTACAGCCAGGAAGTGGCAAGAGGTGGAATGAGGCACAATCACCCTTTCTGTATTGACACTGTTGTTACAGAGAGGGTGAAGGGGCTCAGGAAAGTATGCCCCAATGCAATTATCAAGAGAAAGTGATAAGAAACGGGCGTGCTGAGATGAACCTGGAAGCGATCGTGCATAGAGGCTATTAGAGGGCACCGGCATATGTCACACAGTCACCCTTAGCAGGCTCGCAGTAATGGTGGCAGGCAAGATGGCGGCACCTATAGAGTTTGCGGCGGATTTGTGGTCATGGCGCCTCCTTGGCAGGCTCTGACGTGTAATGACGTAGAGTTTTCTCATTGGTCGCACCATTGTTACACATATCTAATCCTTTTTGTAATGCATTTTCATTTTAATTTTGCAACTTATAAAGCATATCAATATGCATATTAGTGTATGAAATGGCAAATGTAAATGATGTAATTTCATTTTCATTTTGCACCAAACATTGCTAGAATGGTAGTGTAAAATGTAAATTTAAATACAGAATGCAATGCCATTTTACATATTGCATTCACATATTGCAAAAAAGTATGTGGACGTCAAATATCTCAAAAAAATGAAGTTTATTACAGAAAAAATAGTAACAAAATACAAACATTGATTCCAGTGATTGTATGTTTGTAAATTGAGAATAATTGAAGTTTGTTTGTACTATTGTCATGTAGTATTGTGCATCTATATCACATAATGCGTTACTTTTTTTTTAAATGCACATTTTTGCATTTTTCTGGAAATTACCATCACAAAGTCAGTCATTTTGATTGCAAAAATGAAAATCACACACACACACAAAAAAATATTTTAGAATCCTGGAAAGACTGACTTACATCTTGTGAAAATGGGTGTTTATATTAAAGTTTTTCATTTGGGAAAGCGTGTCATGCCCAACCCAACTAATCTTACTGTCCCCTGCTTCATTCTCTATTACGGATACACATTGCTGCCAAAAGAGAGACCTCCCAAACTTTCTCTTCAAAAGCATTTTAGCTTTTATGGCCTGGACCACATCGGCTCAACCAAAACTATAGCTAAACCTTGTGACCTGCACCACGTCCCATTGAATGTTAGACTGGGACAGAAATAGAGCTCATTGTTCAACAGATCCCACAAGGGAAGTTTAAATTATTATGGAGCGTGCTTCTTGCAGCATTCCAATGTTACTTAACATAAGTAAGGAGAATGAGAAGTAAACTCTATGTACTGTAAAATCAACTATTAAGGAAATTTAAAGCAACACATGTAATTCAAATAGTCAAATTCTATGTTGGAAGGCCAACAGGCATACAGAAAAGCATATTATGATTTTTTCATGCAACAATTTTTAGTGAACTTTTTGATGTCCAGTAGAATTGTTTTAACTGTGTGAGTAATACAAAAACTTATCGAGTAAATAATAGCCAAATGTTTAAATGATTAGTTCTGTCATTATTTACCTTCATACTATTTTACTGTAAAACTGTATGCCTTTCTTGTGTGGAACAAAAAAGAAGATTCTTGAAGAAAATAAGTGATGTAGAAAGAATACATGAAAGAATTTTTTTAATTTGCAGGAACTAGTTGACTAGTGAGATACAACGGTAGCCTAATACAAAAAAATACTTGTGAAAAAAATCTATTTTGTTTTAAATCAAGCTATTGCTCCCATCTAGTGTAAAACTGCCTACAGTGCAGCACTGAAAAGCTTACGATGCCATAAAAACAGACAAATTAAATCAGCACAAAGTAACTGCATCTAATGAAATAACAATATAAAGAAGATCCAAGTATTTTCCACTCTCAGTTTAATTTAAAAATAAAAAATCAATTTATAATCATAATAGTACTTTACAATAATAATAGTTAAATTTACCTCAGTGGCAAGGACTTTTAATTTGAAATAAAACGGAGATAGTGTGGTTTCCCGGATGTAGGTGCACACAGCTTGTCATGCAATGATTATATGCCGAATGTATTGCTTTCAGTGCTTCTGCTCTATTTTAAAAACTTTACTTTTTGGTATTTGTTTTTTAAGCTGCCTGGATTGAGTCTTTGGATAAAACGCTCTGGATATTTATCGAGATGTGTGTGTTTCAGTAAAATGTGATTTGTTTGTAGAATGATTAGCTAGTTAACGGTAACGTTACAGTTAACTTATAGTCGTGCTCTCCACGCACAACAAGCGTTTGACACTAGGTCAGTTTCAAGTCTCTTATTAGTCTGGTTCATTATTGCAAGTCAATTGCTACATCTAGACGAGATTAGTTTACCCACTGCACGAGAACGTGATGAGAGATTTGTTTACTGAGACGCTGCTCCGCTCAGGCTATAAATACAGTAACGTTAAATGAGTAAAGATTGAGCTAGACTCACTCAGAGCTGTTGTGTTATTGCTGTGGATGAGTAAGGTTTAAAAATGTGTCAGGTTTGTGGTAGTTTTCGTGTAAAGAAAAAACAGTGCAGGTAATGCTGGCTGATTCGGATGTGGTGGAGCACAGGAGCAGCCCAGAGTCCTGGCATCGGTAACTGACCAAGTGAGTATAATGGTTTACTTGATCTATAAAAGGTCGATGACCAATATATCCAACTTCCAAGTCAATAAAAAGGAAACACGTTTCTTTAAATAAATTTTGCATTCATGTGGTCAAACCAAAATGTTTAAACAAGTTTTTCTACACAAACTTTGTTTGGATATCTGTAAAAATGACAAGTCTTGTAGCCATAGAATATTTAGTCGTCATTAAAAAAATGTTTTAAATTAGATAAGATAATTATATATTAAGACAGCTCATTTTCAATAAATTCTGGATGCATTCCATAAATTAGCATTGAAATAGTGTAAATTGTGATTACTGTTTTAAACGTTATTTTGATATAATTTTAAAGAGTAGTTCATCCTGTCTTCAGCTACTCATCCTGTCGTTTCAAACCTGTTTGGTGACTGACATAAAGAATATAAAATAAATAAAAATTACATGGAACATTATTTATAAAAAATGCTGCAATGTTCCATAAATGTAAAAATTTCTCAATTTTAATTTCACATTGACTTAATGAATTTAATGAATTTAAAAAATTTTAATGACAGGAGTGACAGAAACAGGCTCCCCTCTCATGGATGTCTGTAGCAAGAACTCTAATCGCACCGCCCCAGTGAGTGAGGGGGGACCTAGGAGAGCTGATGTGCCCCTATGCTCTCGTACCAATGGTTGGAGTTGGCCCCCACACCCTTTCCAGCTCCTGGCCTGGCTGCTTTATCTCTACTTTGCTGTCACTGGCTTTGGTGTATTTGTACCTCTGCTCCCCACACACTGGATCCCAGCCGGATATATTGTATCCTTGTTTTAATATTTATTATGTGGCCTGCAAAGAAGCTGTTTCTTTTCACATTTATAAGTTGTTGTTATTATACAGGTCTAACCTTGTACAACTCTATGTACATCATATACAGTCTTATCAAGTTATCAGTCTTTAACTTAGAGCTCAGTGTACAGGGATTACATTTATCTGTCACCTCTTCATGCACCTGATGGCCGTCTCCATCGACCCTGCAGATTATAATGTCCGAGCTAAGAGTTATAAAGGACCCATGCCGGTATTTGACCACACCAAACATGCACACGTCATCGAGAACTGTCACTGCTACCTCTGTGAAGTAGATGTGTAAGTACAGACAAGCTGCTGACTATTTTTCAAATGTTATGCAGGTATGTGTATAGACATTGAGAACCACTTCCTAAATCAGATTCAATGCATCACCTTTGCCCCTTTCATGTATATTACTCTATCAACAAGCTACAATGGGCTGCGTTACAGTGATTACCACAGGATGTCGTTTGGCATAATAAAGCCCTCATAAACGTAGTAAAATTATTGTAGTGTACACCCTCTGTTTTATTAAGCCTTATTTCTTTAATAATATGGTTACAGTAGGAATATGTTAAGAACAAAAATTACAGTGAGGAATAGAAGTATTTGAACACCCAGATATTTTGCAAGTTCTCCCACTTAGAAATCATGGAGTTCAGTTCCTTTTATTTGTATCCATGGGTAAATTTGTTTTGCAGTGATAGTGTTATATTTGCACATTTGTAATACAAACACAGACAATAAAAATAAATAAATATATATATATATATATATATATAGGATGACCAAGGATGACAATTTCAGACCCCTCCATGATTTCTAAGTGGGAGAACTTGCAAAATAGCAGGGTGTTTAAATACTTATTTTCCTCACTGTATAATCCTTGACGTCTTGTAAGTTTTAAATTGGAAAAGACTAAACTATTAATTGCAGCGCTTTCTAATGCTGACTAACTGCATACAAAAAATTGTTAATTTGACAACTGCGGTTTCCTGAAGTTTCAAGTGCAACATGATGATAACTGATAGATAGCCTTACTACTTTGTAACTGACTGACTGTCTGAGCAATGGTTCTTTTTAGGGATGCATGATACATCGGCCACCATATCGGTATCGGACGATATATGATCATTTATAATGTTATCGGCCTGATAAGAAAATTTGGCTGATCTATTTAAAACCGATAAATAATGGATTATTTCCTTCAGCTGAGACACTTCATATGTGCACTGTTCGCCATTATGCTTTTGAATGGCTTGAAATATGATTTGAATCCCTTCAAAAAAGGAACATACTGTTAAGAGCAGCATGCAGCACAAGTCTGTCGTATAGGCTTCATAAAATAATGAGAACCTTATAATTTTGTGCTTGTTTTTTAAATCAGGCTCACAAAAAAATGTATAAAAGTTGAATTTGATTTATTGGCCAATATATATCGGTTAACGGCTTTCAAACATAATTAATTATCGGTTATCTGCCAAAATGCAACAATGAATTGTGTTCAAGCGTGCAACTTTTTCAAGCAACTCTTCTATTCTGTCCCACAACCTGTACATTTGTACTTTCCAGGGGCCCTAAATCAAAACACTGTAGTGCATGTAATAAGTGTGTGGCAAGCTTTGACCACCACTGTCGATGGTTGAATAATTGTGTGGGCAGCAGAAATTACTGGTGAGTCCTTTTCACTTCTTCTCTGTATGTCATTGTGTGTGTTGGTTTTCCATGTTCTGCCATTTCCATGGATAGATATTTTACCTGTGTGAGTCCTTAAGGCAGATCCTGTGTCAAACTATTCAGAAAAATGTAACACTCAGAATAGCATTTTATAGTGTATGTCACTCTAGACCCATTTTGCACCGACGTCACAATTACATCACGCCGCTAGCTGGAGGCAAAACAAAGTGAAAACTGGACGTGGCAATACAAACCGCAGAACCCCTGAAAAGTGAAGCCAAAACGTCTCGATTGCCCCCCAGTGGCCTGTCCTACTATAGGTCATAAACCCCACCTTCCCATGTTATTCAACGGCACATGAGACCAACTGAACAAATAAATTACAGTTCAAATATCGTTTTTCTAAACATGATTTCTGTCATTAACAGTAGTTTTATCACACTTATGTAATTTCAAGAGTTTGTTTTTAAAATAAATTTTTAGTTGGTTATTTTATGCGGTGGTGTGACATGAAAAAAGTGCCGGAGCGTGTGCTTGCGGTTGATTCTGCGAGAGTGAGGGCGGGGCCTAGCCTAGAAATCTAGACGCACCCTAGCGGCAGCAAAAATTATTCGCAGTCAGTGTGGTCTAGCAACTCTCACACAAACTTTATCACAGTATAACTTATGTAGTTTCAAAAAATTGCGCCAACGTTAGTGTTTGTGTGTGTGTGTTGCACATCCATAATTTCAAAGGGGACGCGATTACAACTCTATAAGTAAATAAATGAAATGTATTAAATAACCATATCGAGAGACCCTGGTCCATTCTCGTTTGTGTTTATTCTGCCGGAGTCTCTTCATCATCTGGGTCTGATCAGAGACTATTTATATATTCCGATTCAAACATGTACGGCTGAATGACATACAAAACAGCGGGGCTCTCTCACTCTCTCAGCCCTTCTGCTTACCGACTGCCATAGGTATGCAAGTTACGCCCTTATCCAAAGGCAGGGCGGGGATATGCAGTTCATTTGCATTTAAGGTCGTAGTCACCAAAACAGCTCTTTTTAAAACAGGCTCCAAAAATGACATTTTCAAATGGTTATAATAAATTAACTGTGGGGTATTTTTTTGGTAAAACTTCACAAACACATTCTGGGGACACCCGAGACCTTGTAAAAAGGGGCATAATAGGTGCCCTTTAAAATAAAATATCAAAAGGATTAACAATGCAGATGTATTTGCTTTACAGCTGTCTTTGATCCTATTTACCAAGGGGGCAAATAATTCTGACCACCACTTTTTAATGTTTTCCCAAATAGAAGTCATAAGGCAATCATGAGATCAAGTGCTGTTGCTTAGCACCACATACAAACATTATTTTTGTTTGTGAGTTTTATTTGCAATTGGGAGAACTTTGGGATTCTTATCAATGAATCAATCAAGTCATGTCTTTTCATTAAATGACAATATGTGTATATGTAGAGTAAGTGTGAAAAATCATTGTGTCATAACTTATGTAGCATTATGTACAAGCAGCATGACATCCACAAATCCACATTTATAGACATATAAAATAGCATTATCTCTTTAAAGGCCTGAAGATTAATGTATTTAATTATTTCTCTTTCTTTTTCTATTCATGACAGGCTTTTTCTCAATAGTGTGATTTCTGCTCTCCTGGGGATTTTTTTTGTTGTAGTTATTGCTAGTTATGTATTTATAGAGTTCTTTTTGGACCCATCAAAACTTCGATCTGACAAGCACTTTCAACAGGGTAAGAAGTGTTTTGTGTGATTGAATGTACTAAAATTGGTCCCATTACACACAACATCATATAATACAGTATGTTTTCTCAGATAATGTGAGATTTCTGTCAATGTTGTCATCCTTTTTATTTCTCTTTGTCTGCAGTTAGGAATGAATCTGTGGTGTGGTTTGTGTTTCTGCCGGTGGCTCCAGTCACTACAGCAGGTCCAGCCATTCCCGCTCTTGCAGGAGTCACCATTGCTCTGGGCCTACTCTCTGCACTTTTACTGGGCCACTTACTCTGCTTCCACATATACCTCAGTGAGTACACTCATGTAACGAACCTATCATTTCAAAAGTCTGAGGTTTTTTGAAAGAAGGCCTTTTAAAATGGTAACATTGTGAAATATTAATGCAATTTACAATAACCAGGCATGTGATTGGCTAAGGACAAAAAAGCAGGAAAATATACTGAAAATACATTCATGAAAAATAAGATAAAAATCTGAAAGATCAATTATTTTATATAGTCTACTATAAAATTAAGACATTTAAATATATGCTGTTTAACACAGCTGTATAATGAGGCAGCACCATGGTTAAGACAAAACAAAAAAGGCTATTAATAATGAGATAGTAATTACAAGATAGTAATTTTATGCGAAACCATAGAGATTTATCTATCTACAGATCAGCTATAATATTATAATATTACTATAATATTAATACAAGAGAATGTTATTACTTTGAGAAAACCAATGGAAAAAAAAACTGAGAAAATAATATTTACAGATGACTGTACTATGTATGGGCAATTTATGTTAATTATGTTCTGAAAAATCTGCAGAGAGGTTTCAAAATTATGAAATTTGAAAATGGAAAATGTGTAGGAACTCTGTTATAATTATCAATGTTGAAACCCATTTTGCTGCTTAATATTTTTGTGGAAATCGTGACAATTTCTTTTTTTATGGATTCTTGGATGAATAGAAATTTCAAAAGAACAACATTACATTGAAATAGATTTTTTTTTAACAATTTAAAACTCATTACTGTCACTTTTGGTCAACAATCAATTCATTCTTGGAGATTAAAAGCATCAATTTATCTAAAAACAAATCATATTGGTTATTTGATGTCTTGTTGCTGTGGTTGTTATTATAATTAAATATTTTCCTCCTTTGGTTTGCCACAAGGGGGCATTCCTAGGAAATCCAGTGGCAGTAGAACTTTAAGTTAGGTTTTTGCCTTAACTATGATTAAAATGTAGATATCGTTCCTATCCGGAATGATAATATGAATGATGTGATGTACATGGGTGATATGACAGTAGACATTTTGTTTCAGATTCTGTCTCTTTCTCTCCATCTCATTCTCCTCTTCAGTGTGGAACAAACTTAGCACATATGAGTATATCGTGCGACAGCGGCATCGACAAGAGGCCAAAGATTCCAGAAAGCCTCCTCCAAAAAATGAATCTGGGATTCCCAAGATTAATCTCATCAAGGTACAACATTGACAAACATAAACATATTTTTAGCACAGCTAATGGTGGTTATTTATATTTTGATGTACTACATTGTTTTCTTTTTGTGTCAAATAAAAAAATTTGATCAATTAATATTTTTTTTCCACCCACATAAAACCAATTGTATTAATTTCCTTCTCTATTTAGCTGATTATTCAATAGTCAGATGTCACCATTTTGTTGCTAGGCCACTGAAAACAATGCTGGCTCTACACAAATCTGTATTATAATTGTGATTCTATATTAATATTTGGGGAATGCATCAAATGCACAGGTTTAGGGAACTGAATTATTATTCTAAAGCATTTTCTGGGAACACCTGTTAGTTTTATTTTTTAACATAAATTATACATTCAAATATTTAAGGTCAGGAGGTACGTTTATTCAGGAAAGATGTGTTAAATTGTCATTTTAATAGACATTTAATTTGTTACAAAAAGAAATACTAAAGAAATTGCATTGCGGTTAAAAAAAAAAAATTAAACACCACAACTGTTTTAAACCATAATAATAAGAAATGTTACTTGATCACCAAATTAGCATACTAATATTACAGTAGTTCACTATTGCATTAAAAAAAATAGAAATACATAGAATAGAATACATTGCAATAGTTTATTTTTGATCAAATAAAGTAGTCTTGGTGAGTGTAAGAGACTACTTTCTAAAACATTTAAAATCTTACTGACCACAAACTTTTGAACAGTAGTGTGTGTAAGTTATTGCCTAAACAACATTCCATAGTGGTTCAGTTTTTTAGCCTTTGAATTAACAATATCTGTTCTCAAAACTGTCAGATTCCCAATGTAGGCTTGTGTACTGCGTTGCCCACATGTGTAATCATCAGGGTGGATAGCTCATGGCAACCTAATTGTTGTAACAACTAGGTTGTTAAAACAACCTAGTGTGGGGACGAAATCATCTGCACAGTTGCTTCTCAGAGCAATTAACACATTCCCAGGAAAACTACTCCACCATGCTACTGCCAAATCCTCACAGGGGCGGCACATTGAGCTCACACTGAACTATAGGAAATGAGCACACACCATGAGTTACTTCCTGACACAGAGCGCATGATGTGTGTTCTGAAGACATTTTGACTCTGCCTTGAAAGACATTAACACTTTGAATATAACACTGTAAGCAGGCATGACAGGAGCATAATCTTGTTAACATTAATAAATAAAATACAGCGGTTCATTGTTTGTTCATGTTACTTCAGTGTAATAACTAATGTTAACAAATACAACTTTTGATTTTAATAATGTATTATTGCATGTTAAAATCACACATTAACAAAGATGAATAAATGCTTTAGAAGTATTGTTAATTATTAGTTCATGTTAACTAATGCAGTTAACTAATATTAATTCATGAAACCTTTTTGTAAATTTTTACTAATTTTATTTTATGCATGTACACTACCATTTTTTTTAAATTAAGACGTTAATTCAATACGGATGTATTAAACTTATCAAAAGTGACAGTAAATATTTTAAATAAATGCTTTTGAACTTTTTATTCTTATTTATGATTTATAATGAGAAGAAGTGTTACTTGAACACTGAATCAGCATATTAGAATGATTTTTGAAGGATCATGTGACACTGAAGACTGGAGTAATGATACTGAAAATACAGCTTTGCATTTATTATTTGTAATTGTGATATTTCACTATTACTATTTTTACTGTAATTTTTATTAAAAAAAATGAAACTTGCCAACCCCAAACTTTTGATCAGTACTCAATATATTAAAATTATGTAGGCTGTAACAAACAATATTTGCTTATTACAATTCTGTATGCCATTTTGCATGAATCTCATACTTAAACAGGCTGGGTTTGTAGTATGTGTGCTTTTCCTCAAGGGTTATGTAAGTTGACTCCAGCCTTTACTGTGAAGTGTACATGTGACTTCACTGTTTCTTAAGAACTGTTTGCTTTGGCTCCTTATGTAAATTGTTGTGTTGGGCAAGGCCATCTGTTCTGTAATCATATACATATTGCCACATACACAAGCACACATGTGCCATTGGTATCTCACACCCATAAGACACCCATAAGACACACATACTTGCACACACATATATCTCTTAGATTCTACACTCCTGTTCTCAAAATGAAAAAAAAAAGAAATAAAATGAATCATCCAAATGTTTACTTCTGCAAATGTACCTATTGTTGTGGATTTTTATTGGACAGGAGGTTGGGTTGCTGTTGTGCATCACATTCATTATAATGTGGATCTTAATCATATGATGCTTTTTCAGTGTACCAACTAATGTTTCGTGTTGGACAACTGCTCATTTTCAAAGCAATAGTAATGTATCTTTGTCTTTATCCCTGTTTTCTCTCATCATGATTTGGTTTCCATCATTGTTTTGCAGCAGCAAGTCAGTTACAGTGGGACGCTCGGCTACACCAACCCTGAGATGGAGGTACATGATCCAACCGCCATGGGCTCTCAAGAAGGAACAGTGTAAGTTCTGCCAACTAGATTGATAAAATGTGATAACCTACTTAAAAATCTCACCTAAAAGTTTAACCTAAAAAAATCTAGCTTTGTGAAATACTCTGACTTCAGGTGCTTTACATTAATTGTATTTAATAGTACACCAAAATAAAACTAATGACATGGCCAGTGGCAGTAACTAAGAGCTAATGTTACGTACACTACCATTCAAAAGTTTAGGATCTTTTTTAGTTTATCTATTTTTTAAAGTTGCAGTCTGTATTTCCCTCTTTTTTGGGGTTAAAAATTATCCAAAATGCATATTTGAGAAAATACATAACCAGCCAGTGTTCAAAACTATCCGCTTGCCTTAGCTCGATTTAAATGTAAGCTTGTAATACATGCATACATACATACATCTTCTTCCGCTTCATCCGGGGCCGGGTCGCGGGGGCAGCAGTCTAAGCAGAGATGCCCAGACTTCCCTCTCCCTAGACACTTCCTCTAGCTCTTCTGGGGGGACACCGAGGCGTTCCCAGGCCAGCCGGGAGACAGTCTTTCCAGCGTGTCCTAGGTCTTCCCCGGGGCCTCCGCCCAGTGGGACGTGCCCGGAACACCTCCCCAGGGAGGCGTCCAGGAGGCATCCGGAACAGATGCCCGAGCCACCTCAGCTGACCCCTCTCGATGTGGAGGAGCAGCGGCTCTACTCTGAGCTCCTCCTGAGTGACCGAGCTTCTCACCCTATCTCTAAGGGATCGCCCAGCCACCCTGCGGAGAAAGCTCATTTCGCCGCCTGTATCTGGGATCTTGTCCTTTCGGTCATGACCCAAAGCTCATGACCATAGGTGAGAGTGAGCCTATGGTCAGTAAGCTTGTAATAATGTTTTTAATTCCAGTGGTACTGGTGGATTTCCACGGGAGATTCAAGCATGTCTTTGCGTCATTACGTCACATCTGTACACATAAAGAAGGAGTCTTGGCTAGTATAAGCTATATTGCGTGCGAGGATGCTGGAGGTGGAGATTTATAGCCTTTTCTCACAGCTCTTGATATAATTGAACTTATCAATTTGATGGCGGATCCAGAAAGGTTCAAACAGCAATCACTAGTGACAACAGATTCACCTGTTCCGACGGGTAAAGACTTCGTTTGGACTTCGGATTGGCTACAGAAAATAAAGAGGCTGCAACCAGACCCATGTGAAAACAAGGATAAATATAGCTGCGAGCAGTGATGACGGGCCCAAGCTGGTGGCACCGCTACCCGGTTCCTTTAGTTACCTAAATAATAATATCATAAAGATTGCATACTCCAACTTGCGTAATATTAACCTTCTCCATCCCTTTCTTTCAAATAATAATACTGCAGTTCTTATTCACGCACTGGTCACTTCACGTATAGACTACTGTAATGCTCTTCTTATAGATGTTCCCTCCAAATACACAGTCACACACACAAGTCACTTACATTTTAGATGCAATATTGACTTTTTTCCATTTCAGCAGTGAAAATAGTTAAACAAAGATCACAGCAGAACCATCGCACATCTCAAAGCAATGTGTTTTCTCATTTCTGAATGATTTTGAACGAATGAATCAATGACTCGTTCATAAAGACGGTCGCCTGGCGACACCTTATGGCCTCATACTCACATCACCTCACACTCTCCTCAAACATTGTGTTCATCCGTGCTGTGTCGAGGTGTTGAAGTACATCTCACGTAGTGTTGTTAATTCCGCAAAAGACTGCAATTGCAGATTTCGAACAAAGTTGCAAAGAGGAAAAACTGCGGACTGCCCCTTTAAAGTGCTTCCATATAGTGTTTAATTGTATTTATTTGCTTAAATTCATACTTTTGTTCAGAAAGGACCCATTCAGTTGATCAAAAGTGAAAGTAAAGACTTTAACAACAGTAAAGTTTACATGCACAAGAAAAATCTTCCAAATAAATGCTGTTCTTTTGAACTTTCTAATCAACAGAGAATCATGAAAAAAATGTATCACGGTTTCCAAAAAAATTAAACTGCATAATCATTTACAACTATGATAATAAGATTAAGTGTTACTTGATCACTGAATCAGTATATTACAAAGAGTAAATTACATTTTAAAATCTATTGAAATTGAAAACAAATATAGCACATTCATTTTTAATTAATTCAGGTTCAAGTGATGATACCAAAAGTACAATTTTAATTTAAAGCAAATAATACCTTTCAAATATATGGGTAGTATACAGTAAAAGTTATTGTATTGTAATTATTGTAATACTGTATTTCTCAACATTACTGTTATTTACTGTATTTTTTATCAAGTAAATACAGCATTGGTGAGCATAAGAGAATTCTTTCAAGAAAGAACTTCCAAACTGAACAGATGTGTATTATTTTATGGGACAGGTGTTAAAATGTGGCCAAACAGTTCTGTTAAAGCAAGTGAGTAAATGTCACTGACTTAGCTAAACAAAGTGGATAAATAATTGAATAGAAAAACAGTCTCCCGTTCACACAAGACTTGGCTTTCTATCCCCTTTAGCTTTGCCCACATTAATGTCTACAGCCCAGCCAAATCCATGTTACTCTGCACATTTTGTTCTAATAGGCTTAAGGGGATGATTGATTCCTTTAACAGTGAAAATAGAAATAATCTAATGTATTTTATTGGCAAATGATGGTATCATGTCAGTCTTCTGAGAACTCTGAAAGGGAATGAAGGATATTAATACTTTTGTGCAGCAGTTTAAATGTGAGCTAGGGCACCAGTTGCAGATTAAAGAAGTTTTACTTATTTGTTCTTTATACCTGTATGGACTAATCCATTCGCTCCTTATACATCAGTATGCTTTTTACAATAGTTCTTATTTTGCCAAGCTTTTTGTTTTAATTGAGAAAGCCCCATGAACTGAGTGTTTGTTAGATATTAAACTTCTCAGGCTACTAGCTGGACCAGTTCTGCAGAAGCAGTTACTAAGGGTCTGTTTTACTTATGTGTCATATTGCGTAATAAGAAACAGTCACCAATAACAGTATTTCATAATGCTTAATAGCATTGTTGTCATAGTGGCAAAATTGTTTCCCATGACATTGTAAATTCCAGGTTGTTGTACATTAAAGTCTTCGCAGATACATTGTAATTTCTATTCAGTAACAATTATTGAGAGTATAACAGTCTGTTAAAAAAAAAGTTTAAAAAAATGCTAAAATAGTTTAGAGCGGTAACTGTAAATATTATAAAATATTACTGTTGGGCATTTAATGCTGCTCCTGAGCCATGAAGGTTTTTATATGTATATATATATATATATATATACATATATACACATATACATATAAAACATGGCATCATAAACATCTTTTTTTGGCATCATAAACATCCAAATTTCTTGATCAAGTTTTACACAAATAATACAGCCAAAATTGTACTTTTAAGGATATGCGGTGGAAGGATACACAGAGGAAAGCCTTACTTATAATTATTAAATTATCTTGCGTCCTCCACATAGTATTTTGGGTTTCGTCTGGAACAGAAGACGTCTCTTACTTCGATATTCAACTGCAGCAAGCCCACTGATCTGCCACTTAACATCATGAGCAAATCCCAACACAAATATCTACTATATTAGTCTAATATCAGTCCACACATGCACACGTCTTATTGTCGTTATAATCGCTAACATAGCAGACTCATTGGTCATCATCATTTTTATATTGCTATATTGTTATGCTACGCATAACTATCACAATCGCTTTCAGGGGGGATTTATTTATTTATTTATTTTATTTTTTGGTAGGATTTTCCTGGTAAAAATTTTATTCAGGGGGGTAAATAATATCACGTTTTGGTGTCGCTTTAACCCGTGGACTTTGTAAACGTAGGCCAATTTTGCCGGAAAACCTTAGACTTTGCAACACTGTCGCAACGAGGGGTGTCTGTTTTTGTAACTAACGTTTCTTAAGTATAACCATGGAGTATAAAATTCAATATAAATTCTCGGTATTGCATTGGACTCTACGATCGGCGGAAGTTATCGAGCATCCTTACACCTTCACCGGAATTACGGCCCGTGCATAGAGCCCATTTAAGCCCTGTGTTTTAGTCCAGTCGCTGTGAGTTCTTAATGTTGTAATAGTTGCTGTTAGCTTTTTCCTTGTTCCTGGTCTGAGTTTCTTTGTTTTCCGTTTACCCTGGATTACCTGTTTGTTTTGTTAATAAATGTGCTTGCGATTGGATTCACTTCCTGCTTCATTCCTTCCACAATGTTACAGGCAGGTGGATGAGACACTTTAGCATGTGTATTAAATGTCAAAGTGCACATTGTGAAATCGAAATAAAGATTTATGCCTTGTAACCTGAAATTGAATTTATTCGTACAAAGTTTTAACAAATAAAGGCTTGAAATATCTCACTCTGCATCTAGTGAGTTTATATAATATATTAGCTTCAGCTTTTAAGTTGAATTACTGAAATAAATGAAAGAAAAAGAGACCATTACGGCCTGACAGTGGAAAAGTAGCTATTGTCTGTGTTATAACATTTAAAGTAATAAAAGACACTAAACAATGTTGTTTGTGTACAATAGATTTGAGTAATGCGTGTCTCTCTGCAGGCGGTACAGCAACGGCCGGATCAGAAGCTTGTCTGAGCATATGGGTGAGGAGCAGCTCCTCCCTGCTGTCTTAACCGAGCCAAAAGCATCATCTCACTCGCACAAACGCATACAGGTAGGACACGTCACAACCACCCGACACAAAAAATCAATTTTATATTAATTCCAAGGTCTAATTACACCACCAATGGCCTGTACACTCCACTGATGTTGTAACCTCTTCCTGCCTCATTATGTACTAAAACCATTTCATTTATTTTCTTAGAAAAAAAAGAGGAAAGTGCGTGAACTCGCAGCTGAGGTAAACAGTGACAGATCCATTGACACCAGCACCAACAGAGGCATGCCAAAGACTCCTGCTGAGCAGGGTAAGACAAACATAAACATTCAGCTGGTGAATATAATATCTCATTGTTTTGAACGACCATCCTTGCTGAATAAAATGTTCTTTTAAAACTTTTAAATTTCACTCATCCTAAACTTTTGAACAAAAGCGTACTTTTATTAATTTAGCAAAGTTTTCTCCAAATAAGGAATACAACAAACTGATTCATCCCAGGACTTGAGAAGTGCTGCAATATGCGATGCCAAGATCAGAGGAGTATAGGCCAGAATAGAGATGAGAGTAAAAAAATAGTAGTGAAGGTATGGGAAAGTTATAGATAAAGCATTAATTTTATACATGCATTTATTATCCAATAACTAAAGCATATGTTTTATTTAATATTTAATTATTATTTACTAATTTAATAATATCTATTTAATATTATAACATGCATTTTATAGTAATTATATATTAACATTTAATAGTAACATGCTTATATTCACAAATACAGGTAGCATGTACAGTGCTGCAACATTAGCAGCATTGACTAATCCTAACAGTGTGTCACTGGTTTAGGAGATTAGTATGTTATGGCAAACGTTGCTATGTTATAATATTAAATAGTGTGGTACATCTACATCAATGAACAACACCCTGTTTGCTTGAGACTGGAGTTTTGTAAGAAGAAGATAAAACTATGAAATGAAAGTTGAAACCTGCTAATAGAGCATTTCTCTTTACCTGATATATAACTTTATTTTAGCTCCCAATGCATTGTTCAGTTGTATTTAGTGTTTGAATTGTCATGTGGTCTTAAAGGGATAGTTTACTTTGAAATGAATTTTTGGTAAGGTTTAGCTTACAGTACCTCAAGGGCATCCAAGATGTAGGTGTCTTTGTTTCCGCAGTAGTTTCAATTTTGATATTTTTAGGTTGAACCGTTCTTGTCTGTCAGTCATATAATGGAGGTATATGGTCACCACCTCAAAGAGAATGCACAGAGAAGTCTAAATTAAACCACTCGTTTCATGTCTTAGGCCATCAATGTGTACTTTCATTTACGAGTCATTAAATCGTGTTTAAGTTGGACTTCTTTGTGCATGCTCAAAATTGATCAACTTGATCAAAATATCAACATTGAAACTACTGGGGAAACAAAGACACCTACATCTTGGATGCCCTTGAGGTAAGCTAAAACATACCTAAAATTTATTTAAAAGTGAACTATTCCTTTAAACAGCCTGGGAACCTTTTGCTCTAGTGTTTATTTAAGCCTAGTTCTACCACATAGAAAAAAAGTCAGAATTATGACAAACAGCCAAGTCCCAGATTAAAATGCATTTGAGCTGTTTTTATTTGTTTTTTGTTTTTCAAGGCAGGCTTATAGAAACTACTTAAATGTCCTTATTGAACTAAGGTCTAATCCTGGCTTAATCTTAACTCTGTCTGTGAAAAAACAAAACAAAAAAGCAAACATAATTGGCATAAATTACATAAAAACAATGACAAAGTCAAAATTATAACAGTCAATGTGGTCATTATTTAAAAATGTAACCATTATAACAAATAGAGTTATACAAATTATATAATTATAAAATCATAGTCATTTCTTATGTGGTGGAATTGGGCTTCCATAAAAAAAAAAAGTTTTTTATTCACACAAGTGTAGCCGCTTGGGGTGGGGTGCTGCACCAATAAGGATTAATCTTAAATCTAGATTAAATTAAGGTTCCTAACTTTAAACCTTGTTTACAAATAAGCAGGTTTACATTTATAAATATTATAAACAATTATAAACTTTAATTTTAGAGGGGGGGAGGTTTAAATAAAGTGCACCCAAATTAAAATATGTCGCTGACTGAACAAAGACAGAAAAAGTAGCTGTGTTGTCTGGTCTCAGAGAGGAAAAATAAAGCACATTGAGCTGGCTGAGGGTCGTGGCGGGCCATAAACTTACGCCTGCTATCGATTTCGGAATGTGACTCCGTCGCTCATCTCTGTGCACTTGGTGTCGGATAAAGAAAAGAAGAGAGGAATATGTTTAGCATTTAACAGCAGTGGCGATAATGAGGTGAGCGCCATCTGATTTTCTGCACCTCTGGTTTCTTATGCCCTCTCCACGCGTGGCTGCTGGGCGGTGCTCAACTGGACACTCGTGCCAGTTTTCTTATCTCGGTTGTTTTGTCATATGTTATGCTGCCTTATTATTCCATTAATTGATACTGTAAATATATTTCTAGGCTTATGCATTCTGCTCAAGCTGCTACAATGTTTTCATTGCTTGCTTGATCATTATCGGTCTCTCTGTGTTGCAGTTTATAAAGTTTATTTCCTTTATCAGCAAGAGCTACTTAAGTCAGAAAGAGAGTTTCTGGTGGTCAGTAAAGAAAGAAATAGAATATTAACATTGTTTCTGTTTAATTGGTGTATCCATCATGGCGGAGGAAATGAATTGTAAATTAAGGTTTTAATCGCTGGTTAGAATTCTAATGTTTAAAATGAAGTTGTGCAACACAACTTGATTTAAAATAAAACCCAGATCAACAAAACCTTGATTAGCTGTAAACTTTGCTTAATTTGAATCCTTTTTTGGTGCAACCCACCCTTATGCCTTGTTCACACTACATGATTTTAAAACGTCGGGCTGAACTGTGCGGTTCACACTACATGACCTGCTCTCAGTGAAATCAGGAGTGTTCAAGTTGTTTAGCTGTTCACACCACACAACATGATTGATCCACAACAGGAGGTAACTCACTACACGAGCTGACAACGTACTACATAGAGATACAACCACGATCGGATTATAAGAGCAAATAATTTTTGACTCCAATAAGAGCTGTCTAAAACCTGAAAATAATCAAATAAATAAATCGTCACCCAACGATTCTATCTTGTCTACAAACCACATTTTGGCACAAAAAACCAGCAATATAACGAACCAGAAATGACGCGAAACAGCACGTGTGCAATACCCAGCGCAGAAGAGAACACAACACATGAATATGAACGTCAGACAGAAACTAGTGCTGCACACTGTTTGCGCAACGATCTGCTCTGAAAAAAAAAATGCAAAAAGAAGAACTAAGATTTACCTGTTGTCCTCAACACATGCGTTGCTATGATTGGCTGTACCCATGACATCACTGAGGTTGAGTCGCGCGACGGCTCTGGATATCTAGCAGGCTATATATTTTTCTGGGCTCGGCGACGCGTCTGCGAGCGTTTTCGCTTCGTTGTTGGCTCTTTCAAACTAACAGATTGGCAAGCGTTCATCGTCCGCTAATCCCCCGCGATTTGCACGCGATAACACCCTGACCTGTCGGCGAGCTCAACGATTTGCAAATCGGGAATAAATCGGGCTTAAAATCCTGTAGTGTGAACTTGGCTTTAGAGTAGCAAAGTGGTCTTTATATTGGCGAAACAGTGTGTGAGTAGTTACCTTTTTGATCTGTGTCTGTGCTTTACACGAATAGAGTCCTCTGTAGCTGCCGCCACTGTGTCCTCTTCTCTTGGTCAACGCTTACCCTTCCCAGCATTTCCCCTGCGGGCCTCCCTCCCCCCTCTTGCACCCGTACAAGCCGCTGGCCCCCCTGCTGAGTATCATTCTGACTCCGCAGAATCTCTGGAGGAGATCCCTGTAGCAATGGCACGGCTTGGCAGCGCAGCCCTGGCCGGAGCTCCGAACCCCACCTGCGCTACTACCACTGCTGCTGTTTCGGCCACTAGCTATTCCTCTTCTCTCCAGTGTGCTTTGCCTTCCTCAGCAGCAGGACAAGCTTTACCCTCCCCTCAGCCCAGGACCAAGAGGAAAGCGGCCGTTCGTAAAGCTGCTGAGCAGAGGTTTGAGATGGTGTCCTATAACCCTTCTGTGTTGACGAGTCGAGAAAGCGGGGAGCCTGTAATGTCCCAAGAGGGCATTGTCACAGAGGAAAGTCCCCGTGTGGCAAAACGCAAACAGACAGGTAAAAAGAGAAATATGGAGGACACAAAGCCCAGCTCCAGATTAGGAAACCCAATGGTGTAGAGATTACTACATTACAGAGACGCATAACTACTAGTCAGGACTCATCAGCCCTTGGTTGGTCTTGTTTTTATATTTAAAAAAACTGGCTTGTTCGGTACAATCCCATGAAAACTGATGTAGCACTCAGAACCTGATGCAACCTATGCAAACACCACTGAATGTCAGCAATGTGGATTTTGTTGTCTGACCTTTTGCTGGACTAAACATCGAATGCTGGTTGTCATTGGTCAGTGAAATTTGATCATTCTAAAGACCTCATATTGAATAATATAGCAATATGATCAAAATCACTTATATTGAAATTGTGGTAAAAGTTGATTATGTATTGAAGCCTTGGACTCTTCACATATTAATGAATCTTGTGAGGAAACCAATACACTATATACATTTATTTAACCTTTTATTATATTTCACTATGACTTTGCTGCAGCATTGCACAAATTTCTTTTTTTTTTTTTTAAATACTTCATGCAGTGCTGCCAATTTTTTTAATTTATTTATTTATATGTGTTAAATGCCAAAGTTTTAGTTTTCTATGATGAAACACATGTGACCACTGATTTTCAGGTTTTTTTAGTCCATGTGTCCATTGTTGCACATTAAGTTACCTTATTTTTAAATTATTATTTGTTGTTATTAATTGTTGGATTTCCTTTTTGTTGTTTTTATAAGCTTTTTATGGCAGATTGTTTGAATCCGATCCAGTTGTGTTTGAGTGAACTTGAGTTATGTACTATAGAGTGCTTCTAGTGGGATGTGAATTTAAATGTTATTAATGTTTTCTGTTATCACACCATTAGTACTCACTCAAGTGCTTTGCTTTCTAAATGAACATTTTATATAAAAACAGTGCCACATGATGTCGGCCCGTATGAGTAATCTACTCCCATCTTAAATGCTGCTCAAACAACCCACTTACACATTAATGTTCAAACTGTGAATGGAAACATTCTTGGTACATAATGTTTTGAGCAGAGGAAGTGGCTGAATGATGGCATGATGGTGAAGCAATATCTTTTTTGTTGCTTAATTTAAAAAAAAAAAAGTCTGTTTCTCTTTAACTGTTTCCCTAATATACACTTTTTGTTTAATTATCAATGGTTATTTATCAATGGTTTAAATATCATGTTATTTTCATTTATTTATACATTTTTGACATTATTATATCAAATTTAAAGAACAAGGGATGGATTTTCATAAATTTGACTTAAAACATTTTTTTGTTTTTGCAGTTTTTAATTTTTATTTCGATCAGATAGTATGGAATAGCTGGGGTCGGAGGAGAGAAAGGGGCATCGGTAAAATTCCACGAGATGGATCCTGAACTTAGGACACCCGAAACCATAGACATCATATAGCTAGACACCCTATCGACTGCTACAGCCTATTGGCACGGACCGAAACCCCCTGATGAATTAATAAAAGGGTTTAAATCTAGTCACACTTATTCTTTAATGTAGACAATTTTTAAAAAAAGGTAGTAAATCTCAAACTCAAGCCATGTTTGCTTGGAAAAGAATTCTAGTTTACTACGTTCAATTTAAATATGACAAATAGAAGTATGATCAAATAGATGTTAAATTACATTTGGTACTGTTTTCTGGAAGGTCAAGAAGTCAAGTGGGTAGCTGTATCCCACAGTACATTCCACACACTTTGCCCTGTTTTGCACATTTAGCAGATCATCTCGATATTCCAGGCATGTGGAAAATGTGCACATTATGTGCAGTATATATACTGCAGAAGTAGTACGATGGTATGCTATTCTGAACGTTATTGTTATTCCTGTACCTTTTCCTTTTTTTTTTACCTCAATTTTTTCTCCTCAATAAAAACTGCACATGTAGCCTTGCATGGTGGTTGTCCTGTTTTTATGTGTCCTGAATCGGTAATAGACATATTTCTTTTTTACGGTTCTACAGTTCAGTGTAGATGTCCATACATTCAGAATAAACCTATAGCCACAATGTTAGTCACATGATCTTTTTTCATCCTCCCATTGTAGTAGAGTGTATCTCATTAGGTTCAGGTTCTATTGGCTTGATTTTAAAGAACCCTCTATGCAAAAATAAATAAATAAAAATCTTAAATTAATGCATAATAATTTCATACAGGTTATTTACATTTTTCAAGGGGTAAAGTATTTTTTTATGAGCTGTTAGTTGATCAAATGAATTTAAGGAATTAAACCTGAATCCATAAAAAGATTCCAAAAGGTTCTGTATGAAGTGCCTCATTCTTCCCTTAAAGTTTTGATATAGAATATTTTTTCGAGTGACATAGCAACATCGGGTAACACAATTATATGCAGACTTTGTTGAGAAAGGATCCAAAAAGATCTAAATATCCAGAATGAACTGCAAACTACACTGCTTTATTATTTCTGACATTGTAATTGTGTAAAACTGTAGTGAGAAAGAGCATTCTGTATATGTAGCATAGACCTCAACAAGACCTGCACACGATCATGTTCAAACACCTGCTGTAGCTCCTGGTATATTTTAACACTACATTTTCATAGGCTTATCTGTTGAGAACATTACACTGTTCTCTGCCAGGCCAGAAATTTGTCAGACAGCCTGTTGTCAAGGCCATAATGTAGGTAAATAGAGAACTCATGGAGTTGGAGAAAAATATTTTTATACTTCAAATTGAGCCTAGAGCATGTAATTGAATTTGTCAGAGTCGTGACATCCACTGAATAAGAGTGTGGTTAACCAACAGCTGAAGTATGATATCATAGGCAGATACGCTAGTGATTTCCTTGCCTTGAGAATGGGACTATTGTTATTTTGGTTTAGAAAATAGCACCGGCAAAAAGATAGATCCTGTTCCTGGACCAGCTGTATAAAATCATGTAGACTCTCGTTCCTCTCCTGCTTGAAGCTCAGTATCATGTTCTGCTCCAACATCCATTTAATGTCAAACTACTATAAAAAAAAAGGCTGCACTTACTGCTTTTAAAGATAGGATATAGATTATATTTTTTATAAGCCTTTAAATTATGTTTTAAAATTGCTCTCTAAAAAAGCCAATTGCGCATTTTTGTTCTCAGACAATGTCCTTCTGAAAGCCAGGTGGCTGTTTTTGTAGTTGTGTGTACCCAGTGTAACCATGGCGTCAGGATCCTATAACACTGTAGCACTGACAGTCAGAGTTCCTCTGGTGAAGAAAGGCATGCAGCAGAACTTGTGACAGGACTCAGTGACAGCAGTGGCATCATTACTGGCAGAAACCTTTTGGCTGCATGGAGCCAAGTACACTGCACGCAATTATTCACCAGAGATAACGAGCTCAGTTTTCACAATTCACCTTGGTTGATTTATTAGTCTAATCATTGTCATTGGAACAGATTTACAGGCTCTGCTGATCATCATAGTCAAACAAAGGCGTTATTATGACTTGCCTTATGACTTCTCATGAATTATAGTGTGCACTGAAGGGAATTTAGCATTGTCATGTATGTGATAATGAGATTAAGGGATCTTATGTCCAAAACTCCATCCATGTTAATTTTTTATTTTATTTTTTTCACCACATTTTCTTTTTAAAGTCTAAATTCTGTGAAATTTTGTATACTATTTTGTAAGATGACTTATTGTTTGGACAACTGGCTTTATGCACAGCTGCACTAACTTCAGCCAGCTCCTTGTTTCCTGTCTGCCATTATTGGACAAACTGATTAATCCAAGTGTGTCTTATTGTTGATGTGACTAGGTCGGCCACACCTGAATTAATCAGTTTGTCCAATAATGGAAGACAAGAAACAAGGAGCTTGCTGAAGTTCAGGAAGTAGTGCAGCTGTGCATAAAGCCCATTAAGCAATAATTTGTATTTTTTTGAAAAACAACAGTGCGATTGTATGTGATAAATTTGTTTATTGAACAAATTTTAATCTCCAATATCACCACATAAATTAATGACTCCTGCCTACAACTTTACCCGACCATGTACAACTTTAGGTACATGTATATTATTTATTGCTGCAAATACCAGTTTACAGGTTTACTTCAATTCAGTCAATATAGCATATAAATAATAAGCAATATCCTCCACATGCAGCTGAGGTATAGGGTTGACAAGGAAAGAGTGGTTAAACAGAACTGTGTGTCCTTTCACTTATCAATGTCTCTCAATCTGTTTCATTCATTTCCAACGGTGACCTCATCATCGGTAGTTCTTAACCAGAAAAAAGGATAGAAAATAAGCTATTCTAGCAACAATCGTCTCTATGACAACAGTTAAAACAAAAGCTGAAATATGAAGTGAGTGCTGTTTGATGTCATTAGTTTGATCCCCCAGGGCTCCCCACATCTCTCTGATTTTCCCACTGTTTGTGTTTATTAACCAGTGGTCATTGTTAAATAGGCTTTCAAAAACACAGTACACACTTCATATTCTGTAATGCAAAAGAAGCTACATTAATGAATGGTGGTTGGTGGAATGAGAGTTGATTCTTTTGATCATCAAACACGCAAAGACACACATGTCGAAACCGACAGCCACAGACCTTTTGTTCTGAGGTGCACATCTGTTTCCTGTTGGCTATGGGTTTCTCTGCTTTCACAGCACTAAATGAACTGAAAATGAAGAAACATTAGTTTACATAGAAAAGCAGCTAAGTAAATGAGAATGGGAAGAGAAGGAAGAGTAGGTTATAAGATATTTTTAAACTGCAGCAGCACAGCAATCCTCCATCTGCTGACCAATTCCTCCTGTACATTGATTCATGCAACGAGATGATAAAATATTCCAAATGGAGGATGGAAAGCTACTTAAAACCAACTCTGACAAGACTGACTTGAGAAAAAAAAAAAAAACCTTCCTGTTTTCAATTTGTGGATAAAATGTATTTGTTGTGTGTATACATAACAACTGCTCTTTTTATGGGTGATAAAGAGGTGCTGAAAATGAGAGTAAAACAGTAAAACAACAATGCGGTAAATGCATGTCACGTCCCATCTGATCGTTGAAATGCTGTAGTGCAAGTGTTCAGTTTGTTTGGCATGCTGTGCACAGTAAATGTCACATGAAAGCTACTGCCGTTCACTTTCTGCACACCATTTTGCCGTGTGAAGTTTGATATCACAACATAGTGTTTCCATGACAACTTGCATACACCCACTAAATGTGTCAATCATCAAAAGGTCATGCAGATTTTGAGATTTACAGTGTGTGCCTTAGCCGCTCAATGTGTAACAGACATCACTCAACACTTTATTGAAACATAAAAGTTCAGTTAATAGGACTATAAGTGCACACATCTGTAGGTTCGAAATCATTGTTTTTACAGAAAGAAATAATACAATCCAGCACTTTTCCATATTAAATGATAATGTCTAAAACAGAGTGTGTGTCTGAGATTTTTTTATTTATACAATTCAGGATGTGAATGGTTTTCGTCGTAGGATGGACAGGTGTTTATTGGCTAGGCATTTTAAGCTCATGCTGGAAGAGCTCTTGTTCTCAAAGCCAATATACAAGCATATAAAGTGCCACTCTCATAAATGTGGCATGAATGCAGTGGCTTTCCACTTTCAAAGGGAGGCGCCAACAAAAAAGCATTTTCTAAATCTGTGGTTCTTAGCTTTATTGACTTGATAAGAAGGCTTTGTTTGCACACAAAAAAACAAAAACACAATTTACCAGTTTATATGCAAAATATTCATGAAAGCAACACAACGCATGTGTGTTTTGTTGACTTGAGAGCAGATGTTGTTGCGTGAACATCCATTGGAAATTAATATAAAATTGAGGTTTAACCACTGGAGTCACAAGGATTACAGTATTTTATACTATGCTCCTGCCTTTATGGGGTTTGGCTGTCAATGGAGGGACCGGAAGCTCTTAGATTTCATAAAAAAAAAACAAAAAAACATTTGTGTTCCGAAGATGAACAAAAGTCTTGCAGGTTTAGAACATGAAGGTGAGTAATTCATGACAGAATTTTCAACAATATTTATTTATATTATATTCATATCATTAATATAACTTATTTATTAATATTGGTTTTTTAGCCCTTTATCTGACTGGTCTTATTGCCACTATTTTTACATTTGAAAAATACAGCATGTTCTTGTACTTTTTATTTTTTATTGACATGGTCAGATTGTAGCAAAAATTTTAGTGCTCTAATAACAGTTAGCTGAATACATTAATAAATAACAATTGACATTGAACACGATATAGATGTAATAATGAAGACCGTGAAATATCTTCACAATCTCCTAATATCTTTATGTCCTTCATTATGTGGCAGTTATTATGTATTATTATTATTATGTTATTATGTCCTTCATTATGTATTCTGAGTGGCAGTACAGTACGGGACAGCATCTGAAAACAAAAAACAATTGAGTTTAGAGTTAAATTGTGTCTCTCTGTCACATTTTCAATGTTTTTAGTTCAGTTTTGTGATCTCGTTTCCCCGTCTTTGTGATTTTTGGTTTAGTCCTGTTAGTTTTTCCCTGTCTGTGCAATTAGTTATTCCCATCACCTGTGTTCAGTTAGTTATCCCATTAGTCCCAGTTGTTTTAAGACCTGTGTATTAGCCATAGTTAGCAAATAACGACAGAATGAGCCCTTTACCATATTAAAAGGAAAAAGTCTTTAATGTCTTTTTGTTTTTGACTGTGTATGTTTAAGCATAAAGTCATAATTTAAAAAAAATAATCAAACAATATGGATCATGAATTCTATATATTTGTTATTTTGTAGAGAAGAGAAGATGATTATCCTTAACTGTGCTGTAAAAAAAAGCAGCTGTGTGCAGTGATGAGAATGCCAGGGCTCCAAAAACACAGTGGCACAGTTGGGGAAAGATGAATGCGAAGCAGTCTAAACAAACTTCTTTGTGCAAAGCTAATCATAGAGCGAAACTAAACCTTTCTGCACCATGATTCAGCAAATGAACAAAAGTGATCTTTGTATAAGGAGTTAAAGTCAACATTTGGCAATCAGTTTGGTGTACTATAGAAATGGGAAAGGCAAATTATCCATCACACTCCTGTATATATGAACCTGAGTTATTCAGTTCATTTAAACTGATGTTGTATGTTATTGCCATGCAATTTTACATGCTTCAAATATTTGTCATGCATGTTGATGGTTCAACCATAATGCACCGGTACACACTGCTGTAAAAGCTCAAATATATTCTGGTTATGCATTAGGTATCAAAAATAGTTTAAATTAAAAAAATCAAATAAAAAAAAATACA